CCTCAGAAACTTTATTTCTTTAAAATGTGTGAAAGTCAACCCGAAAACTTATTTCCGGGACGAAGGGAGTATATTCAATTCCAGGCCGGTTCCGGTCACTGTTCGGTCCCACTTTTATACTCACTTCGTCTTAAAAAGATTCGTCAAATTGAATTTTCTTGATTAATGGTAATCAATTTTATTTGACCAATGATATTTTTAATAGAAATTATATTGAATATAAAAATTATACCGAAATGTTACTTATTCAAAATATTTTCATAAAAGTATAAATTATACGGAATATAATAATAATAATAATAATTAAAATCATTGTACAAATTTTGTCAACATTGACCAAGAAAAATCAATATCCTTTTCGGAACGGAGGTAGAATAATTTGAAATCCTCTATTTATCACCTCCCAACCCTTTTTTCCACTTTTCATTGTATCCCACCCTTTTAAAAATTGATTCGCAATGGTTCAAATGTAAGAAAAAAAACTAAAATAAAATGTAGCCAAAGTTGAGACCGATCCATCCCGGTCCTGGTCTGAAATGTTGAGGCCCGAGACAGCGGGATTTCTTTCTTGGCAGTCCGGGACCTTATTTTTCGGTCTTGGTTCTAAAATCGACGGCCCCGGTTCGGACCGGTCTCAGGACCGTGACTGTGTCCACCTCTAGAACCGTGACTGTGTCCACCTCTAAATGTTCAATGTCAAATTGAGCTTCTGTGTGATACGAATTACGCTGTGTTGTAAAAATCAGACCAGATCACGTTGGTTGACCCGGAACGGGGCAGCCCGATGACACTATTGGTCTGCTATGATGGATGAACCCGGGTCTATGCGATTAATAAAAAGTGAAAAAGGAGTAAAAACCCCCTTGAAGGAGCTAATGTTCATCATGGACCGGTTTACAAGATTAGATTGATGGTATGAGTATGACTAGTTCAAAATTACTAATTTAAATGTACTAAAATTTACTCCCTCCGGTTCTTTTTAAACTTCAGTGTTTGACTTCACAGTTATTAAGAAAATAAAGTTGACTTTACTGTAGAGTACACTGTTGAGACACTGTTTGGCACCGTTGAGACATTGTTTGGCACTGTTGAGACACTGTTTGGCACTGTTTAGCACTGTTTAACACTGTTTTGATGTAGATTTCTTTGCCAAATAAGGAAATAAGGAAGTCTGAAGTTTATTTTGTACCGTCCCAAAAAGGAAAGTATGAAGTTTATTTAGAACCGGAGGGAGTACTGTAAACCGGTAAGAAGTTCAAACTCATCATCTCTTTTTACCGTTAAACATCCAATATACATACTGGATTATAAATTATTTTTAGATTATGAGGCGTTTCCTTTTAAATTTTTTTACATTTATGGATTATTTTTCATACTTTTTCATACTAATTGAATAACGGACTACGTTATTCATATACAAATTAGTGAATTACTATCATAAATACTTTATATACTCTGTTTATTAGATCCAACGCCAATCCGCGATATGCAGCTCTATTTTATTAGAACATTGCCTTTTGTATGATCAAAACATTACGCGTTTCCCAAAATATGATTATATGGCTTGTATCTTTTTCCCTAAAAGAATACCAAATAGCATGTACCACACCATTGAGTTTTCCTTTTTCTAATTTCATTTCATACATATTTAGTCATATAATGAGAAAGAAAGATCCATGATCATATTTGAAAAAATGGCAGAGATGTTAGTACGGGTGTTTGCATTTCCAATAGACCCTTTTTATGTTGAAAAAATTCTAAAGCTATCTCATTCTATACCCCATTTTATACTTCCTCCCTAGTTTTGTGGTTAAGAAAAGCAATGAATTTAAGTGAGACAATTGTTTTGTGGGGTTAGGGTTTTGTGAGCCACTCATAGAGCGAGGTACAAATGAGGTACCCCATTTTGGAGTACCTCTAGCATTTCCAAAAATGTGACTCGTGGTTAATGAGGAGTCTAACTAAAAGCCTATATTCCTAACCTAATTAAACCTAATTCCCTTCTCCTCTCACCAAACTAAAAGCCCAAAACAATGTGACTCATCAGCAACTTCACCTCTCCTCTCACCATAGGTTCACCGCCGCTGCAGCTTCTACCTGCCGCCTCAACTCTCATCAGGCCGTTGATGCTTCATCTTATCCGTCTGCCGCTACTTCGTCTTACCCGGCCATCACTGCTTCATCTCTCAGCCGTCGATCTTTGTTTCACCTCTCAAGCGCCACCGGCCCACCCTGTCATCCATTGGAGGACCTGGGGGTCCTAGGGGGGCAAGTGCCTCCACTTCCGACCCCGAAATTTAGTATTAGTATTTAAAATTTAATCGGTGCCCCCGCTTCCGACTGCAAACTTTAGTATTAGTATTTAAAATTTAATCAGTGTCCCCGCTAATTTGATGTGTAAAAATTCTATCAAAGAGCATATGTAAATTGTTATAAGACATTTAAATGAATACGGAGTTATGACGAAACGATTTCATAGAATTAAACATGTTCTTGACAAGATCATTCTTTGAAAAGTGGCATTGGTGATCATTTTTTGTGAAGTATGAATGATCTTTTGCCAAAATTAGAAGTCAATTATATGACGAGACTTGTAATGAGTATGGTGAGCTTTATGGATTGAAGATTAATTATCTTAAATGAAATTTCATACACAAGATATAATCATTGTTTTCTTACCAATTACAATTAGTTGTCCTGACTATTGCACAAAAAGAAGAAGTCAGTGGATACTTTCTTTGAATATTTCTCCATGGTTATGTTACTAAAATGTTGGATCTTATTGTAAAATAAAGGACATATTCCGACAAAAACATGAAACCATAAGACATTTATTCGAAAGGGTGTAGTAGTAACAAACGGGAGATGATTGAATCAAGATATTAAAGTAGTTTAGCTCGACCGGGAGTTACATGTTAGAGTTCACAATTTAATCCCAAGTTGATGAAGGAATTTGGAGACTGTAATTATGTGGCATGATGTGTAATATTGGACATTATGCTAGTTCTAACTTCTAAATCAAAATTATTACCATTTGTAGTACAAAAACAACTTGAGTTTTAATCCAAAATCATAAATGGTGTCATGATGAATCAGTTCTAATTCATATGAAATATTATGTTTTTCTTTCAAGAAACTGAATATTATTATTTAGAATTGTTTTAATGGGTTGAAAACTAGACCTGTTGTATATAGATTTAAATCATTTGAAACTAAAATTGAACAACTTGTTTTTTTTAAAAAAAAATTGTCTTCGCATTGAATACATTAGTCCCACACCTTACTCGGCCCGTCTGCATCATTACAGTGGTGCCCCCGCTTGAAAAAAGTTCTAGGTCCGCCACTGGTGTCATCGCCTATCTCTTCTCCTTCCTTTTTTGTTCGACTGTCACACCTATGTTACCGGATGGGCGGCCAACGTTCAGATTGACGGGGAGCAACATATCTGAGGGGGAAGGGGGCAGGGGGTCTGGGTTGGGAAGGGTGCAGAAGTCTGGGATAGAGGCTGGGGGGTTGGGGAAGGGATTGGGGATGTGGGGTGGCTGGGGACTAAGGTAGGGGTTGGGAAGGTGACTGGAGGTGGGGCGGCGGTCGACAGCGACAGTCTACGGTGATGGTCGGCGACTCGGCGGTTGCACTAGGATGGGGTATGCTAGGGACGGGGCTGAGGGGGGCTGTTAGCAACAGGGGAGGACTGGGGCTGGGCATACCAAACACGGCGTATCACTGTGATCGGGAACAGGCTATTGTTGGTCCGGTGACAGGCAAGCACTGTGGCGATGACGGGCAGTCATTGTGACCAGTGGGCAGTCACTGTGGCGGTGGATGAGCAGTCACTATGACCGGTGATGGGCAATCACTGTGGCCGGAGCCACTGAGATAGTGACTTGCGGCGGCGGTGCCAGCGACAGCGGCCACAGAAGTGGTGGTGGCTGTAAAATATGGACTACTAATCAAATATCTAAAGGGAATATTAAAATAATAAATGTATGATTAAATACAAGGAATAAATGACTTTTAGTCACTTTTTTGAAAAAAAATAAAACAGGTCACATTTTTGTCATTTTCATTCATTTTAATAATATTGAAATAAAAAAGCCATCATATTGAAATAAAAAAGCCATCATTTTAAAACTCACATATAGCCATATAAGTATTTCCCCCCTATTTTATTCTCCCTATTACAACTATGTTTAAAAAACCGACCCGACCCGGCCGGGTTGACCCGGAACCCGGTGACCCGGACAAAAAACCGGTTCGGTTTTTTCAAAACCCGGAAATGGTCAAAAACCGGAAAAACCTGGCTAACCAGGGAAAACCCGGTCAAGACCCGGACCCAAGAAACCCGAAAAACCCGGTAAAACCCAGTTATTGAGTGTTTTTACCAAAAAAATTAATTTCTTTTTTATTTTTAATGCATTTTTTATACCAATAAAATTGCAATTTCAATACCTTAAAAAGAAAAACTACATAATATATTTATATATTTATTTAAGAATGAACATCATGCCAAATTATAATATAGACGTACAATAAAAATAAAAATATCATTATATATTTTTATAAGATCAAAATATACATTGAAATATTATAAGAGTGTATTAAATGCTTAATAAGTAGTATGTAAGTTGATTATTATGAATAATAACTAATTTTTATTATAATTTTATATATAATTATATGTTTACTATTATTATATAGACGTATAATCATTGACCGGTTTTCCGGCGTTGACCGGGTTGACCCACCGGGTCCGGGTTGACCCGTGACCCAGTCATGTGGCCGGGTCACTCTCCGAGGTTTTTACAACATAGTATTACAAAGCTCTATGTCTCGATAGGTAGCGCTCGCTACACTTGCGAACTAAGGACAACTACAAGTTGTAAATACTCTGTATATACTACGTACATACAAGAAGTATTTCGTATATAGCATAATAAATAATGGGATGCGCACTTTTTATTTTTCATTTTTTCTAATTTATCTCCTCCTATATATAGGTGACTACTTACTAGTTCGGAGGATAAGCCAACATACAACTCCACCCCAACTTCTTCCTATCTCTCCAACTCTAAACTCTGCTTAGCTGAGCTTCTTCAGCATATATATTCCCTCCTCTAAACATTACAGAACCTAGCTTCCTCTACGCAATCGAACTCAATGAAAATGAATCCCTTATCCACGAAAGTCACAAGCAATTCGCATGGCCAAGACTCCTCCTACTTCCTCGGATGGGAAGAGTACGAAAAGAATCCTTACCATGAGACCCGCAATCCCAAAGGAATCATCCAAATGGGTCTCGCCGAAAATCAGCTCTCCTTCGATCTCCTCGAGTCCTGGTTGGCTCAGAACCCGGAAGCCGCTGCCTTTAAGGGTGACAATGGAGGCCAATCCATTTTCCGGGAGCTTGCACTATTTCAAGATTATCACGGCCTTCCTTCCTTCAAGAAGGCTATGGTTGACTTTATGTCAGAAATCAGGGGAAACAAGGTCTCATTCGATTCCGACAACCTCGTCCTCACCGCCGGCTCAACTCCGGCCAACGAGACGCTGATGTTCTGTCTCACCAATCCCGGCGACGCTTTCCTGATCCCCACCCCATACTACCCAGGATTCGACAGAGACTTGAAATGGAGGACCGGAGCAGAGATTGTTCCCATTCAGTGTTTCAGCTCCAACGGGTTCAGGATCACTGAGTCAGCACTGCAAGAAGCTTACTTATCGGCCCAAAAGCGCAACCTTAAAGTCAAAGGGGTTCTAGTCACCAACCCATCCAACCCACTGGGAACAGCTTTGACCCGAGCAGAGCTCGACCTGCTCATCACTTTCATAGACGAGAAGGGAATCCATCTGATCAGCGATGAGATCTACTCCGGCACAGCTTTTGACTCCCCTGCCTTCATCAGCGCCACGGAGGTTCTCACAGAAAGGATTCAAAACAAAACTGTCACCCATGACAGTGTGTGGGATCGGGTCCACATCGTCTACAGCCTGTCAAAGGATCTCGGGCTCCCGGGTTTTCGGGTCGGGGCAATTTACTCCAACGACAAAATGGTGGTGTCGGCGGCTACAAAAATGTCGAGCTTCGGCTTGGTCTCTTCTCAAACGCAGCACCTTCTATCCGCCATGCTATCCGACAAGAAGTTCACGAAGAAGTACTTGACAGAAAACCAGAGAAGGCTGAAGCAGAGACACGCGATGTTGGTGGCCGGACTCCGGGAAACCGGAATCGAGTGCCTGGAAAGCAACGCCGGACTGTTCTGCTGGGTGGACTTGAGACATCATCTAACCTCACAAACGTTCGAGGCGGAAATTGAACTGTGGAAGAAAATCGTTTACCAAGTGGGGCTAAACATTTCGCCCGGGTCTTCTTGCCATTGTACCGAACCGGGTTGGTTCAGAGTCTGCTTTGCCAACATGTCGGAGGAAACGCTGAGTTTGGCAATGCAACGGGTAAGGTCGTTCGTAGCGACGGCGAGGGCACCCGCGGCGGCGGCCCGTTCGATGTGCCGTCAAGATTCAATGAAGAAGAAGGGGGACGGGTTGAACAAATGGGTTTTCCGGCTATCGTTTAATGACCCTGAGAGGGAACGATAGACTGGGTAGTTATCTTTGGCTAATTTAGCTTAATTAGGCATAAGATGAGGTTTTTTCCCATGATGTTTCATAAATCCTTCCAAATTTTTCCAACACTTAACGAGTGTTGTGTCCTTTTACTCAATATATCCTTCGGTTTTGAGTCATAATTCTGGTTCTTAATAGTTAGTTCCCTATGCGATTATCCTGTTATGTTCTTTGTTTTCGCGTTATCAACTGAGCATTGATTTGGGGTAATGCGTTGAGACTTTAATGCAATGGTGCACTGAATCCAATCCTTGTAGACGAGATGTGGTCTCACTTTTAGTTCTCTTGTTGTGCAATGGTTCAATTCAATGAATCAGTAGCTTTTTCCTATCAATCTTTTGAAGTTCTAAATCTCCCATTCCAATTCGGCCCCTGGTATAACTGACCCCGAGTCAATCTCTGCCAAAAAAAAACAATGACCGAGAATATTAGAGCAGATTGAGATGATGTAAATTGAATTTTAATCGCAAGCTAGTGAGTGAGACTTTGGACTTGATACCTGCAGAGATCATATGCATTTTTACATAGTATTCTTTCAGTGGCGTTATTTGCCTACAAAACTAACATTGACATAAAGTTAATTGATCGAGGTGACAATTTAGTCAAGTTTAATACTCCCTCAATCCCAATTTGTAAGATATGTTTCATATTCACTTAGTCAACATAAACCACTATTAATATTTTACTTTATATATCAAATATTTTATAGAATTTGGATTATTTTTTGCACGCTTTGTAGCGGTTTTTATGTAGTTTCTGAATATATAAATTTTATTTTTTCAAACTAATTTGAGTGTTGACAGAGATACGATCAATTTGCTTAATCGTCGGTCAAACTTCGTAAACCTTAAAGTATCTTACAAATTGTGATGGAGGGAGCAATTCAAATTGACATAATTGAAAACCAAATTGACTTAATTAATATGTTAAATAAGTAGACAAAGAGCCCGTTTGTGATCCTGTTTTTTGACTTATCATCCTTATCGATCAATACTTTCACCACACATAAATTTTGATTTCACGCGATGAGTTATGTAATAATCAGAATAAGTTAGGTTGAAGTGTTTTATGCATGGATTGGCTGAATTTTTGTAGATAATCATTTTAGCTATTTTCATATAATTTCTTTTTTTGTTTTATTAATAAAATAGTCTATATATTTTAAATATAATGTTTTCATAATTTAAAAGAATTAGCCAATCCATGCCAGCAGCTTTAGCCAGAATTTTAAAAATCTCAACAAATATTGACAAACAAAAGTTGGCTTTGCAAATCATTTTGAAATGGGGACAATATAATACAGTAGGGATTACATATGTAAATATATCAGAGATGTATAATGCCCTATCATTTTAGCTAGGACGGAGGCAGTATAATTTTTACATATTTTTTATGGTTTTATTTTGAATTAAAATATTTTTACATGTTTTTAATTTATTACAAATTTAAATATGACTTTATTATTAAGTTATGATGATAAGAGTAGAATACAGAGTAGGAAGATACAGTATTATTTATAGTGTGCTTCATATACGGTATTAATTTTCATTAAATGGATGTTAAGATAACTATTCTGCAAGGTGATCATGAAAGAGAAATTCATATGCATCGGCTAGAGGGACCAGTAGCAAAAGACAATGAGTGAAATTAAAAGATTGTAAACTAAGCTAGGTAACTCATTATTATTCTCCGTATGGTTTTTAAAAAAGTCCCTAATCAATAGAATGAAAATTTTATAAAATAATTTTATTCCTCATCAAATTTACTCTTAATAATGGTGATCAATGTATTTATTTTAAAAGCAAAGGAGATAGTTATATATCATTATATTCATGTATGTATGTTGATGACATTTAAATGTGTAAATTCCTATGTAAGTAATTACAAACATATAGTCCTATTTATACACTTTGTTCAATTTTTAGTCCTATTTAGACAGTTGCGGAGCCAAAAAAATGGTCAGTTAGCTAGGGGGCCGGGGCTTAATGAATTTATATTGAGGGGGTCAAAGCTTAAAATTTCAACATATTTTTACTGCTTTTAAATATTATTTATGCATATAAACACACACACATCAGAAATATTTTCTTTAGAATAATTAGAATAATTAAACAATGTTCAATACATATAATACTTTTCCACCAGTATCCCCTTGCATGTCTCCACCCCTGTATTTAGAATAATTACTATAAATAGCTGATGGAGATGATAATGGTTCTTTTAAACAAAATTCTTAAAAAAATGTTTGAAGTGAAGGATATAAGTGGTTGGCAAGGTAAATCTTAGGGATAAAGTTTAATTTTTTTTAGTAATAAAGAACTAAGTATAGTTACAATCAAAATTTCTGGTTGGCAAGCATAAAAATTGGAATATTGCAACCTAAAAAAAGAAAAGAAGAAATATTTATACAAGAGTACAGAGTTATGCATTGTATATAGAAGTGGCCAAGTGGGGCCGTTGACTCGAAATTCACTAAAGAGATTACACCTTCTCGGTTAACATTTGAGACTAATGTGTGAGATATGATACCTATAATAATAAGATGATTCGAACTATCTCTTTGCATTTTGATAAACAGTATGTGGATAATTACAAAAATTAAGTGTTAAGCATGCATAATCAAATGGCACAGAGACACATTCAAAAAAGATTAAAAACTCTACGGAAATTTGTGTCTCAAAGAAATTATGGTGTTTAAAATAATTGATCCAAGTACGGAGTATAATATAACAAATCCTCTTAAAAACGCTTGACCTCTCTGTCAAGTCTTAAAAATCAGTTTAGAAATGAAACTGAATTAAACCCGAGCTGAGAATGATCCCACAAAGTAAGTTCATTATGATATTGATTATTGATGACATGTTTTTCCCTAAAATATGAGTAAAGTATTCTCATCATGAAACCATGCAAGTATATAACCATACTATCACATCATTGGGAAATTAAAAAACAAAGGTTTTTAAAAAAATGAAATGAAACTCATTTACTATAGTATGTATAATGTCATGATAAGTGTAAAAATTGAATATAAGTAATTGTGATTAACTTACTGTCATAGTCAAGGATCATATCTAAATATTTCTTAATTTTTTGGATGTAAATATCTACAGGGAACTATTTTTAAAATGGGCGAAAAACTCAAAATTTACTAAAAATGAAGTGCAACATCCGATCCCCAATAAAAATATGTAAATGATACTGCCAGTAATGTGCAGAAACCATAAAAATGATTGGCTGTGGTGAAAATGATTGGTGTGCAGAAGCCAAAAGGCCATATTTTTGGAGTTCTATTTTGTTCACCCTCTTCATATAGGTGAACATCACCCCCTCCCTCCAAGACATGACACTTGGCATTGCAATTGCAAAATTTAAAAGTCTTGCCAAGTGTCATGTGTTGGAGGGAGGGGGTGATGTTCACCCTCCATGAAGGGGGTGAACAAAATAGAACTCATATTTTTGCAGTCTTAGGCTAACCGTAAACTCATTCTGTCAATAAATCAAATTTCCCACCAATTTATACGTATACATTCAATCAATTCTTTTTCTTCTGCAATCCGGCATCGTCAATATATTCACTCATCAAAGTTTTCTTAATAAAAACCTTCATATTATTATCATACGTCATTTTTTTGTCATTTGTTTTTGCAAATAATTATGCTATTAAAAGTCAAACATTTCGATGTAAAAATAAATAAATTTGGATTTTTTTTAATTTATACCTATTTTTGAAAATAAATAAATGAAAGATGTAAACAATTATTTTAACCATGTGATTTTGGTTTTAGTTCTTGGATCTACTTGACAAAGTTTTAATAGCAAATTCATCTAAATGAAAGATGAAACTTTGTATTTTTTAAAAACTATATGTATATATATAATATTGATGTCACATGAAAGATAATAAAAAGTTATAAATTTTGATATATATTTTATAAAAATGAGAATAAAAATAAAAAAGATACTACACATTAAAGATTTTTGGGATTTTAATTTTCATGGCCCCCACACTCCTGGTAAGCACCACCTACCTTCTCTCTCCATGAATCCTCCGCGAATAATAGCTGTGCCTAGAGTGAAAAATAATCCATGAGCATAGACTCATATGACTATTTTAGCCCTCACAAATAGTAGGATTGCAGCATTTTAAGGGGTGAAAAGACAAGTACTTTGTGGTCTGATGTCATCACTGTGGCACTCCCAAGGAGGAGGTCACAGGTTCGAATCTCATCCCAGTTCAAGGATGTTGGCATTAAAAATGAGCAAATACTATATAGGTTAGAAAGAATTGTCTAAAAAAGGGGTGAAAAATTTTAAATTGGGTTTTCATGTTGAGGGTTGCGGATAGTGATGGCAACGGGGCGGATCGGGGACGGGTACACATAAAACCGAAACCGCCTCGTTGGATAAATGTTTGCCCTAAAACCGCCCCATTACCCGTTCGAGTAATTTTTATTTGAACCGTACCCGCCCCAACGGGGAATCGGTTTATCCACGGATAACTGTTTCCCCAAAGCACCCTAAAACATACAAAAGTAAATATTTAAGCAATCAAGCAGACTGACCTAAATTCATTAGTATGGCATGCACCTAATATCTCTTATAACATAATAAAAAATAGTAATCATCCGAGAATCCAAATTCCAAAATCAGGTTTAGTCCTATATTTAGTTTTAGGCATAAAAAGTACTCATAGTATACTTTTTAGCATTATTTATATGATACTCCGTATATACTATGTATTATATACTCCGTACAATTTAACATATATACTTATTATTCTTATATATAAAAAGTTATAATTCATTAATAATGTTACGGATCGGGTAACGGTGCGGGTACCCGCACCACTAGTGAACGGGGCGGATAACGAGGCGGATTAGTATAGAACCATAATCGCACCATTAACCATTTAAAAAATTCTGGTATTCCCCGCCCCGTACCCATTCCCCAGTCAAACTGGTTTTCCCCAGTTTGACCAAATCGGTTCGGTGCGGGTATCCAACGGGTCGGCAGAAATTGTCATCTCTAATTGTGGACAGCCTTATTGTATGTATATATATTCACATGTCGAGCCATGTGATTATGTGAACGAGAGCCTGGCCTGGAGCATAGACTCATCTGATCTATACATATTATCTCTATCTATGCATTGTCAAACAAGGTGCTGTTCTGTTCGTCTTATTCTTATTACTTATTGCTTATTCTTATTTT